ATATGTGAACGATGAACTTTGTTAGAAAAGAGTGCAGTACTTCTTTATCAAACATATGCAAAGATGAGGATGTGTACTCAAATTATTAACCATTCTATACTTCCATAATGAAAATGGTCAAATTTTTTTCGGGGCACTAAAGAGTGTCAATGGATCGAAAGTAATGTCTTTCAAATGCCCAGCACCCAAGAATATGACGCTACACTAGTTTTACAAAATTTGCTTTGGCTCACTTATGCTCAAACTCCAGAAAAATAAACATATACATATATGCCAACCCTATCCTACTCCTTCCTAAAGTTGAAGAACTAAAACTTGGCTCATATATGTTTATCGAATAGTCGTAAATCGTATTCAACAATATGCCTCTCTATCCATCCATATAAATCTATGCCTATAAATGGAGAGAGAAAAATAAAAATAAATAATTATAATTGGCAATTCATAGCAGATGGTTGTTTGAAATCAATCAATCAATCAATCAATCAATCGGTACAATTCCTTATAAAGAAAAAAAAAAAAAAAAAATGAGAAGAAATTTATGCAAATTGATAGCATATGTTAATGACCAAATGAAATCTAGATAGGAAGAGAGAGAGAGAGAGAGAGAGAGAGAGAGAGGCATAGAGAATGGCAGCAGCCTCGGTGGGTGTTTACCAAGCAATCATTAATGATAGGTACGGCCCGAAGAATTGCATAAAACGGTTCGATGATTGGATCGCCGCCAAAGCAATATCGTTCTTTCGACACGACATCGCCATGTTGCAAATGATGCATTAATATTTTGATTTGCAAGGTAAAAATGATCACAATACATGCAAACACTTATTAGTATAGTTTGCAGCACTGCAGATTGAAAACCGGGCTCTGTCGCACTTCTTTCAATTACTATGCTACGAAGTGGCATATACGTGGATATTGATTGATATAACTCGATATAAATACTTCTTAAAATGTATATTTAAAAAAAAATAATAATAAATAAATAAATGCATTGCAAATATCGCACCCATCGACCAACTCATACGATCAATGTGAATAGGAATTTGAAGTGATGAGTATATTATGCAAGATTCTTCTAAGTATATTATGCGGCGAAGGTCATTTGCGTATTTAATTTTTTAGAGGCTAACTGATGATGAGAGAGAATATTTTTTTTTTTTTTTTTTTTTTTTTTTTTTGTCATCAAAATGAAACACAAACGTACATAAAATATATGTAAATAATTTTATGTTTTTTGTCGCAATTAAAAATTCGATGAATTCTTTTGCAGCACTTGAGTGAAAAGGATATCGGATTTCTTTAATTCCTTGCAAACTATATATATATATATATATATATATATGTAAGAATTCGATTTTCATTTGATAACGTAATTTCTGACAATACTAACCACTTGAGATTATTTTACTCCCACTCGCAATTAAATAAAAAAATGGAAAAAGGAAAATAATCAAAGGGCTCTACAGCTGTTACTACTTTAATTATTTTAAGCAAGTAGAGGGAACAAAGGATAGAAGGAAACAACAAAAAAAAAAAAAAAAAAAAAAAAAAATAAGAGTAAAATGGAAGACATTACATAAGAGCAAGTAACCTTTTGCAGTTGCTACTATTTTTGTTTTTGTTTTGGTTTTTTTTTATTTAAATTTATTTAATTTCTTTTTTTTTTTTGTTAGCTTACAGCCAAGCTTACAATTGAAGGCATGGTAGGTATGTATAGTCAATAGGCCAAAATTAGGATAAGTATCAATTGTTTGATTATTTATTTATCACAAAAGGCATATTATTTATTACTAATTGCTTAAGACGAAAAGAAAAATTCATGTTTAGTTAATTACACACACAACTCTTATTTGACATGCGATATCATAATAAGTACTCGTAAATATATATTTGTGGGCGTCTAACATATACTAAAAGATACACACACACGAAGGTAAGGTATACACAAGGGTTGTTTTTGCTAACACAACAACTACCCAGCAAAACTTTTTCAAATAGATGTACATGTAGATGTAGATGTGCTTGCAAATCAAAAAGAAATGAAAATGAAAACAATAATAATAATAATAATAATAATAAAAACAGAAAAATAAAAAGAAAAAAATACCATATGATAGCATTACAAACGGCCGCCATTTATTCGAGGATTCATTAAATGGCAAACTTTGAAAACAACGCCACTTCGTTTAAAGTTAATTTGAAACCAGGAGACATGAGCTCTTAAGCTTCTTCTTGGCTCACGTTGCTAGCAATGAAATGCGAAATGTGTTCTTCTTTGCGGCTTTATTCACACTTGCGAATCTTTGGTCCGCATGCCACGTCGCCCATTAAATCCAGGCAAGGCTAATGGGCCAGAAATTCTTTTCTACGCTGACGACGCCAATAAACAAAGACTTGCATTTAGGTTTCTTCAATTGAAGAACTCAATCTTCATGCGAACGCACGCTTATTGCGTAAAAGGCACGACCGAAAGAAAGGACAAAAGGGGGGGGTTATACATGAACATGTGTCGGATGCATGCATGCAACGCTCGAATTTTCTTTCTTTCTTTCTTCATATGTTTGCATCATCAAGACAGCTAGACAGACATACCTTTTATCGACTCCTCGATTCATATTTCTAATGGTTGTAACAATATGAAAAAACATATCCTATGTATAGCTCCTCCGAAATATTTTCGATAATAAAAATTAAATTAAATTTTTTTTACTTTCTCCAGAAGCCTTAATAAAGAGATTTTCGGATCGACGCAAGAAACGCAGATTTATAAATATCTCGGAAACTTTATCGACAATCAATTAGAGAATTTTGTCTTAATTTTGATAATTGACATACATATCGTTAATCAATACTATGAATTTTAACAAAAGGTTTGAAAGAATCCCTATAGGGGCTCAAGGAACGTACAAAAACTAGCATCCGCTCTGATGTTTAGTTTTCAAAAATACTTTTTTACTAACAATCAAACAACAACAAAAAGATAAATGATAGGTAGTAGAAATTGTTTGAAATAACTCTCAATGGTAATTGAAAAAAAAAAAAAAAAACTTAAGTTTTGCTGGGCAACTAAGTCTGAAGGTGGTTTTTGGGGGTTTAGCACACGGAGGTATAGGTAGACATTTATTTATATAAAACACAATTTTAAGCAATTTGCAAACTGATATCGGAAAAGGTACACATAACCAGAGGCAAATAGAGAGACAAAGAGACAGAGAGACAGAAAAAGAGAGAGAGAGAGAGAGAGAGAGAGAGAGAGAGTGTGAGGCAGAAAGAGTGAAAGGAGTAGGTGGGAGAAAGAAACAGAAACAGAAACAGAAACGGAGAATACTTTGGCTGTGGTTTAAACAAGTCACTAATCATAAAATAGTTTTAAAAAGAAAGTTTTAATAAATTATTCATTAAATTTTTTTTTTTGTTTTTTTTTTTTTTTAAAGTTATTGTTTAAGTATATTTAAAGTGTGATTATGTGTGTTTACTGTACTTTTACTTTACTTTCCTTTGCTTTTGTTTTTAATGGTAAAAAATGATTTCAAATTATAATTATCTCATGCCAATTAAAAAAACAATTTAATTAAAGAGAAAATATTTCAACAAAATATTTAAAAAAAAAAAAAACAAAAATAAAACAAAAAAAAAAAAAAGAAAGAGTTGAAATAAAGACATGTAAGAAAGCTTTAATATATTCACCATGAAAGCGAATATTTGATATCCACCACCTATCGTTACCTATCTAAAATTTAATCCACTCTTTCCTTTTCACAGACGACAGTTCAGGGTAACCGTGTAACTGTAAGTGTAAGAAAATTAAATAGTTTTTTTCAAATATGAAAATATGTACGGATAATGCCAGGCTCGATATTGTTTTCCAATTTGGGCAGGAAAGCCAGATGCGTAAGTCCATACCAAAAAAAAAAAAAAAAAAAACACTTTTCAATAAAGGGAATTTTATGATTATAGACTGCCTGCCTCACCCAAAGCAAACGAAAAGAATGACATTAGGATTTATCAAGTCTTTCGGAAGCATTTAATCTTAATCTACAGAATCAATTTCGCACTCGTTATACTCGTTAGCAGAAATTGTTGAACTAGCGAAGTAGCGAACTTCCTATAAATGGAAGCCTTACGCAATCTCACATTGTTAAATATCTTTTCGATTATAAAACAAGGAGTTGCGAACTTTTAAACAAATCTAATAAAAGACTAAATAAACTCTCCTCACTCCACTACCACAATCTTCGCAACTAATATTTGCCCTACAGGGCTTGCTAAACTGTGTTTTCCTCGAACGGCGAGTAAAACGTCAGCATCAAACACTGCTGTAGTTGTATAGTCTCAACATTTCACTTTGCTTAAACCAATTGTTAAGACTTCTTTTGTTGCAACTGATTCCATTGATTTCAGTGAATGAGTGAGTGAGTGAGTGAGTGAGAGAGAGTAAGAGAAAGAGAAAGAGAGAGAGAGAGAGAGTGAGAGTGAAAGAGAGAGAGAGAGAGAGAGAGGAAGGGAGAGAGCTTAATCGAATTATCTATTATGTATGAATTTCTCAATCTTATTAACGGAAAGATTCAATTAAAATCTGATGGTGGATATGAGCAGTTTTAATATATATATATATATATATTTTTTTTTTTTTTAATTTTTCATTATCATTATTAATTTTTATTTTTTCGAAATGTTATTAAAAAGCTTTAAATAAAATTAATTAAGTTAATATATATAGTGAAAAGTGAAAAATAAAAAGGAAATAAATTACATAAAAATGCTTCCTTCAATAATAAATAAAAGTAGAACTAGAAAATGCATAATTTCGAATTTAGTTACAGAAAACAATATACATATATATATATATATATATATATATATATATATATATATATATATACATATTATATATATAAATACTATAATAATTTAAATTTATTTATTTATTTTTATTTTTTTTTTTTTGTCGAGAACAAGCAGCTACAAAATTAAAAAATGGCAATTTCCCAACTTACCTGATCAGAACTTGGTGAACGGCTCTGTTCATCTTTACTTTCTAAGCGTTTAGGACTCTTTGGTGTCCTCGAATACGGATCTTGACCGCCATACAGATCCGGACAGGCAACACTTAATAAATAATTCTTTTGTATAATATCGATAACAACAAGACCATATTCGGTGCCATAAGCCATTCTGCAATTAATATAATAAAAAACATAATGCTTCTTAAAAGAATCGGGAAAATACGGGATAAAAAATTCTATTAAACGCATACAATTGAGTTCTTCTTATTCTTATCCTAACTATACCTATATATCCAAATTTAATAATAATAACAATAATTAAGTTTTATCCGATATACTGCAGTATGTTGCAGTATCCAAAACATTTGTATTGAAAATCTTATACGAGCATATTTTTTTTACTGTATTGTTAAATGAAGATCAAAATCAGTGCAACACTCTTTCGCGGTGTTATGTATAAAAACTAATGTTTAACAGGTTTTATAAAAATAAAAAAATAAAAAAAAAATTTATTTTTCATAAATAAATTTTTATGCCTAAATAGGGGGAGGTAGATGGCATCCGCACTTTGTAACAAAGAGGAGAAAGCTTCGAAATGTATATGTATATGTATATATATATATTTCTTACGGATTAGCATCATATTTTGAATTGATCTAGGCTTGCTTATCTAGTCAACGCAACGTCTGTCTTCCGGCTGCATCCGGTTTCCTGTTTACAAAAATTCATATATCATTCATTCATTGCCAGTTTTTTCACTTAAGTAAGCATTAAATAGGAACTAAATCAATCAAAGCATACGCCTAGGATATAACATAAACTGAGAATAACTGATCATCTCTGCTTATTTCCAATCTAACTTAAGTTACACACATTTCTCGAACAATAACTTCAACTAAAACATTGGCAGAGTATTTTCATTAAATACATCATCTGTCCATGAAACTTGCAAGAAAGTCATTGAAACCTGCAGATGAGTTTTTAGAATGGTTCCTGTAGAACTGCAAATAGTTGAATAAGTAAGCAACGGATAAACTACAAATATTTTTGAAAACTTAATTATCGTGAACTATCGCATGGATTGTTTAAGACGATGACGTTTATAAGAATTTCAAATATCACGTGTTTTTAAACATTTCATTAAAATATAATTATATATATGTATACATATATATATATATGTATATATTTATTTTTAAATTATACAATAATACTTACAGTCCGTAACTTGAATTAACGGCTAACGATGTTACTTGTACCAATTTTTTATTTGGACCAAATGTAAAGCAGAATAATTGCGGATGAAAACCAGGTGGTATTCGCAAAGGACCCGATTTCACATTTATTGCTGCATCCGCCTATACATAGAGTTGATAAAAAGAGATCGACAATGATTACAAATTACTTTCATATTTCCAAAATATCATATATATATATATATAAATATATATATATATAAATTATGAGATCTGTACCTTATCCGAATCACTTGATTCGGATTTTTGAACTTGATGCGGTGTAAAATCAAATTCAGGACTTGTGCCGTAAATATCATCAAAATAATCGGAAAATATGGGTATTTCCAAGACAAAAATACTTGAATGCGTTTCGACTTTACGAAATTTAAATAACATTACTTGGCCCATCGAACCGGCCACGCATAGACGTCGTGATTCTGAGCAAAGGTATATTATTTGTATAGCAAACGGAAACTCAATATTATTATCCGAGGAATGGGTGATATTTTTGGGTTTCTCAAAAAATTTTGCTGTTTTAAATTTATATAAAACCTGAAATGATCGAACGAAAAGTAAAAAAAAAATGGAAGCTTAGCTAAGATGATTCATTTATTTAATAGCATTTTCTTATGAATTGCTTTTCATTACCTGCAATGAGCCGGCGCCAGAATCCCAGAACTTTAAACTACCATCTTGATGACCAGTTATAACAATTTCTGAATAGCTACACGAGGCTGGCGACCATTCACCACCCGATATCGGCCATTCGCGTTCCGAGAAGGCGTTCTTCTTGCTTGTCGTAGTACGACCAATCTAAAAATTATTTATTTTACATTTAATTAAATAGATCTTGTTCGATTTATTGTCCGACTAAGAAAAAATATTGAAAGTAGCTTTATGAAACAAACATACTGAGTATAAAGCAGGAACCAAATCCGAGGGGCAATCAGTTAAATAAGTGCAACATGTAACAGGTGATTCGTGTAAGTCCATAGGATAAGGCGATTCGAAACATGGAAAACCGGATGTAAGTAAGTCTATTAATACTAAATCATATTGTAGGAGTACCGCTATCGCATAGGGTTCCTGGGTTTCTATAAAGCATAACATTAAAGCATTTTAGGCATGTATGTGATATGATTTTTTTTTGCTATAATAACATTGATTATTTTGATGTGTGTGTGTGTGTGTGTGTTTGTGTTTGTGTGCATTTTATTATAACAAAACTTAACTTACCGCACGTCCAGGGCTTCTCACAAAGTATTATAAAATCAACAACTGCATGCTCCATTTCTAAAACGGTTGTCGTTTTCCCCACCATAACTGTAATGCAATTCGATTTGGAACCCTTATCTGTGGGCATGCCTCCCGAAAAAATCGTGTAAGTTTCGCTAAATTTTGAGATAATTATTTACAATTAGAAATCTATATTGAAATCATTATATTACTTTTTAAGAAGATTTTAAGCGCACAGCCGCTCTCTATTAAAAAACGACCCATCTCCGTTTCTAGTTTTCGTCTTTCTCTCTCTCTCTCTCTCAGTCTATATACCGAAATTTATCTAACTTTCGTTGCAATTTTTTTTTTTTTTTTTCTATTTAACGTTCGAGGCTTTATCGGAAAAATTCAATTGTACGGCATTCTGTGCAAACAAGTTATGCTATATGGAATCGAATTTTTGCAAACAACTTTTGGTATACCGCGTCCATTTTTCATTCATAATTCTATCGGTTGTTGTTAATAGCTTTCCCCAGTGATGATTTCATTTGCTTGAAACACATGAAACATATAATACACGATATCCGAAAGTGCTGAACTGTAAAGTGCTTGATAAACCTCCTATGTAATTTGGATTAGTTTGAAAAGGACAAAGTCGACCCGGCCTGCCCTATGCTCACGAATATAAACTTCAAATGTTCTCACGAACAAAATTTTGTTCTTATCGTTCCTTTTCTCTTCTCGCAAAGTGAGCTATTAAATCGGTTGCAATTAGCGTCGCTTGCAATTCGAAAAACATTTGCTTCCCTTAGGCGTTATGGCTTCGAAATTTTATCTATAGCGTTTGAAATTTAAATATCACCACTACCCAAATTTTCAACCCGAACACGATAGATAATCAGATAACTTAAGTAAAAAAAAAAAAAAAAAAAAAAACGCTCACCGTAAATAACTAAGACGGGGCTGGGCTCATCATTCTTGTGCAAATTTGTAGACGATATCTTCACACAGTTAGGCAGTCGGGCAGTCGGGCATTTGGGCAGTTGGGCAGACAGACAGAAGCACATGCTTACGTCCGTTCTGAATTTGAAATTGGCCAAGAATTTAAATATTTTATGGGGATTTTGAAGCTCACTGCTGCGCGTTAAGAAGATCTTGCGAAAAACATTAAGTTTTCATACACTATAGTAAATAGTAAATAGGCATGGTCGATTTTTCCATTTTTGTTCGGGTAATACAACATCGCTCATAGAATATACATTGCAATGTTTGTACATTTACAAAATACCAAAATATTTGTATACCCTTTTGAAAAACGAAGATATTCTCAGTTTACATGATGCTGTGGGCATATACTTCGACCAATTGGGCCAACCTACATGCAAGAACTTTCAATGTTTCTGTCAAATTTGAAATCGATAGGCTCTGAAAATGATAGACTATAGGAGAATGTTTAAACACACACATTACACAGACGGACAGATGGACAGATGGACAAACGATCGATTCCGAATTTCATATTGATCAAGAATTTGTGAGATATCTGAAGTCTCCATCGATGAACGTCGGAAAGGTTTCGATCCCCCCCCCCCCTGCTTCCCCCCTTATCATTCGATGATGGATACAATAACGAAGTGTTTGCAATCCGTAGCAAATGAATCTTCTTTTCTTTGGCAATTTATAATCTAATCAAAATTAAATCATTCCCTTCGCTTTGTAGTGTGATTCGAAATAATACCAAAAAATCATTATAACGTTTTGTGTGCCGAAATTTTCATCAGTCTATGCAATTTATTGCCTATCTAAAGTGATACGACATGCAATCGACATAATTGTCATATTAAAATGCAATCAAGGAATACAATTTGGTAACGCGAACTCAAGCATTGTCATGAATACCTTTAGCACATGTTATTGAATTAGAATATTAACACAAAGGCAAACATATTTACTTAATAAAATTTGAACTCATGCCAAGCTAAAGCAAATTAAATTGCAAAAAACATGATCGCTTTACAAGCCGTGCTTGCCATGTCTTTCATTTATCGCATTAATTCGAATCACGTCACGTTAAATGCCTCAATTATTAGCGAAGGCATACTTAGAGCAGAGAGAGGAACGAGGTAACCGAACGATTGATAGAAAATGTATTCAACGAGCACGGACATCCCAAATCTGACATTTATGCTGTGCACAGTTGAATTAAACATTTTCACTATCTAAATATATTTAGATTCAATTGCTCGATTTTTCCCGCCGGCATGGCATGTTTCCTCGTTTTCTTGAAAACATCTTGAACTGCATGCGTATCAAGCAATTGCTTAACGACAACGTGGAATTGAACATTCAAGCAGGCTCTTAAGACATCTTTTCTTCACGTCGCTCTTGTCTTGACACGCAAAACATCGAAAATTTACATATCGTGAAAACTTCTCGCCACAAAATCCACTTGAACTGTTCGCTTATTGGTGTGATTATTATGATCATAACATTGCGTTGATTGCTCCAAATGATTGGGAAAAAACGTTACGTTACTTACACGCTTTAAGGCGATCATGTCGCTCGTTAATTGGCGTGAACCGAGTCAGATTAAGTCCAACCGTTGAAATCCGATTATTACATGGAAGTAAGTGAATAATTTTGAAATCTCAAAAGAATTTGGAAAAAATGCCACGACATAAACTTCAAAAAACTATTCAAGAATGAGATTATGAGGTTATGAAAACAGCCAGCACTAGAATCGCTAATCAAAATAATTAACAAACGCGACTAACAAGTCGGCATAGCTGAGCGGCCGAGCTGAGCTGTCAGCGTAGTAGGCGATACTTTAATTACGATTGAAGTGTGATCTCGTAGTTATAATAAGTATTTGGTCGGCAACCGGTTGAGCACATACCACGCACCCTTACCGCTTCTATCTTTCTATCTAATACTATCTTTCTGTCTACACTGCTGTGCGATAATCGTCGTGTTGTTTATATTGATGTGCATCTGCTATTAACTATACTTTTTCCCAAAAGACGATTTCAAAGTCACGTGTCTTGGCTGATATCATCGACTATTAAGCTATACGTGGCCAATTTTGAAAAGTGACATAAGTCCATACATAATTTATAACAACATTACTTTAACCGAGGCGATGATATCTGCACTGGAGATGTTTTGTCGCAATCAAGTCGACCAATGGTTCAATTGGCCGATGAAATTCTTCAAAAGCATCCTTAATAAAATTTTATTCAAAAAAAAATTTTGAATCGTTTGCATAACACTGGAAAAGAAATTCGATATTCGATTACGGCATCTGTTAAAAAATTAATGGACGAAATTTGTCGTTTCCGAATCGCCCCTTAAACGAACAAATGAAATGATGGCTCGCTCCTTCGAATATTTCAAAAAAATAGATTAACAATAATACACGAAAAATGTCTTCATGTCTTCGTACAAAGCCCAGATTGATGCCACATAAAAGGATATTTTGAAGAGCTGTTGGAACCTGGCCAGACTGGAGTGACTCTACTCTCTACTGTCAATAAGTACTGTGGGTGAAGCAACATGTCCATAATTGATTAAAAGCAAGCGGATGATGCCATAGCAAAAGCGGCCGACTATCCATATTTACAGTACTGATCCGGTAACAGTGAAGGAGATCTTGGCTACTTGGCTTGCTTGATCTTCAATGACTTTCATTACAATTCCATTGAATTCCTTGAATTTAATATAATTTGGTAAAAAAGATGATTCAGTAAAGTCCTCCTTCTTCTCACAAATTTCCTTCAAAGAGCGATCTCAATACGAAAGATCTCAAGATCTCAAATAAAAGAAAATACCTTTTACTCTGTAGTTTTTTATAAAAAATTAAAAAAGAAATAATATTTTTAATGACTCCATACACACGTACATAATGGAATCTGTAGAACGAGTGACAAGAGAGATGATTGGTTCGCTCTAATCGCTCCATAAAAGATGTTTAACCATTAATTGTACGCATCACACTATAATATAAAGTCCATCGTATCTAAGTTGCTATTAGTTCCAAATCTTCTATCTGATCCGATGTTAATGATCATTATGCATAGGTTTGTGCCGTTTGTTATATACTTTCGATGTACCGATGACCGTCCGCTATTCGTGTTACTGCTTAGCCTCATAAATAAAATCGTG